CTCTTTTTCCCTTACAAGGTTTTGTCCCAATTGGGTTTTCCTTGCAAGGTTTTTAACGAGGCAACCTATAGGCGCATATTCAAACATGTGTACTCTTTTTCCTTACTTTAATTTTTCCCATTGGGTTTTGTTTTAAGGTTTTAACGAGGCACATCATTGAATAGACATTCAAGGGGGAGTGTTATAAATAGAAGATTCTTACACTTCTATTTAAGGTGAATGTCTTTAATGTATTTAATTAGAGAGATTTTAGAGTCCTATTATTGGTAGCAAGATCTTTCTCTTCCCTATAAATAGAGGTGCTCTCTACCATTGTAATACACCCCTCTCAACTCAATAAGAAGAACTCTCTCTACTCTTCTCTCTATTGCTATTGTTCTTGCATTATTGTTCTTGTCTTTACTTTATTTTATAACATATCCTATATTTTCAATTACTAGACCTAGACCTAGCTAAAACAAAAAAGAGGCTAATGGCAGATTTGACTCTTTTGAGCGATTTCATTTTTCAATATAAATATCTTACAATACAAAGAAAAGCAGTTCCCAATGCAAAATTGTGACTCTTTTGAGCGATTTCATTTTCTTTCGTCAATAATTACAACAACTCATTCATTCGTCCGCGTTCTGTAGTCAGTTGTAAGATATTTGAGGTTTTAGTTTATCGCTTGACTGAGGTCGATTTAGTTTTCGAGCTTTTCGGTGTTGATTCGACGTTTCGGTTTGTAATTTTGGTGTATCGGTTCAAGAATTATTGCTTTGTTTAGTCCGATTGACTTCTAATTTTCAGCTTTGTTCATCAATACAAAGTTCATTTCTCAATTTATTGTGTTATGATAGTTTGTTGTGCGCGTTGGTTGATTTGTGATTCTATGTTGTTTGAGTAGCATGTTTTAGTTTTCATTTAAATTGTTTTAATTACTTTTATTTTGATTGTGACGTATGTAATCTTGAGTTCTTGAATAAGTGCTTTTAATTGGGTAGATGAAAAAATTGAAGTTGTTTCTTTTTTGACAAGGAATAAGAATGGGCCATAGGGTGAGTCTTGAACTATAAGGAATTTAGGCCAAGTATAGATCATGTTAGCTAGCCTATTTGCTCCCCGGTAATATCTTGTCCATAAATTTGGCATCCCAACAATCTCAAAGATTAGAAAAATAATTTAAATGTGCTAGTTGCTTTAGGCGTGTTATAATAAAATTATCATAGATATGGGTATGGTTCTGTCATGACCCTAAACCCAAACCCAATTGTGATGGCGCCTCTCGTAAAGACAAGGCCAGCCGACACACTTCCAATTCACTTTAAGAAGTTAGAATAGTAAATACTAAGTCTTTAATAGAAATAAAATCCCAAAATAATAGTATAAGTTGTTGAATTAAAAACCAACACAGCCCGACATCGGGGTGTTACCATGAGCATTTAGAACCATACTACAAGTCTGAGAATCTACTCCACTACTACATAACTGAATCAAAAAGGAAATAAAACAGAGGGAGAATGCACTGGGCTGCGAATCCCCAAGTAGCTACCTAGTGAAACTCCTTAGTAGCAGGACTTATAGTGCCCGAATCTGTATACAGGGGTGCAGGGAGTAAAGTGAGTACTCCAACTCAATGAGTAATAACAATAAATGAAGATTGAGAGATATAAAATTATATTAAACACAACAATAAGCTATAAGAGACAGAACAAAATCAGTAAACACAATTAAATAGTGAAATCTCATAAAACACCTTTTAAGTAGTTAATAAATTAAAGGAAAAGCAGTTAGAAAGGTAAACACACAAGAACTGCCCCTCGGGCTCAGTAACAATAATAGAATCAACCCCTCAGGCGATATCACAGAACCATATCAGCCCCTTGGGCTATATCTCATATCATAATGGGTATCCGCGTTCACTGGGAGTGTACCGATTCCGGGAGGGGCCCCTTACGGCCAAAGTACAATATGAAGCCATCTCATGGCATCATAAACAGGCTCTCGGCCTTATATCAATCACAAGTCATCTAGTGGCGTACAATCTTAGGCACTCGGCCTCATTATAATCAGCATACCATCGGTGCGGCGTGCAACCCGACCCAAGAGTATTCTCACAATACATGCTCTCGGCCTTACTTAGTTAGAATCTTATAAGCCCCTCGTGCATCAGTAAATTATGAAGCTCAGCTCAAAATATCTTTAAAAATATCATTTAAGGTGTTTAAATAGAATAACATAGCTGAGTTTTGAAAAACAGTAAAAATATTGCATGACTGAGCATAAGTATGAAATCAAACAGTGAGAAAATTATCAGTAAAATTTCCAAAGGGTCCAAACAACTGGCACGAAGCCCAAATACGACATTTAGCCCAAAACATGACAATATCAACCAATTTGCTATTAAGTACGTAGTAAAAAAATCATTCGGGATGGACTAAGTCACACTCCCTAATGGTGCACGATCCCATGCTCGTCATCTAGCGTGTGCGTCACCTCAACATAGCTGAACGTTGTGTAATCCGGGGTTCCATAACCTCAGGACAATATTTAAAATCATTACTCACCTCAATCCGGCCTAAACTCTAGCTCGTAATGCCTTTGCCCCTCGAATTGACCTCCAGATGCTCCAAATCTACCAAAATCAGAACAAAATCATCAAAATATGCTAAAGGGACCAATCCCACTCGAAAATAATCGAAAAATAATGCGAGTCCCGAAATTACCAAAACCCGACCCCCGAGCTCATGTCTCGAAATTCGATAAATTTTACATCTTTAGACTCCTTATCTCCCTACGAGTTCATACATATCAAAAGTCTAAAATCCGACCACAAACGATCTTTCAAATCCTCAATCAAAGGCCTAGATTTCTAAGCCCAAGTTTCTCTAAATTTTACCCTTAATTACAGCTCTAATGAATTAACACCATAAAAACGAGTTTTCATAATCCAAAACCTTACCTTAGTGATGTCTCGTTGATTTCTCTCTTCAAAAAAGCTCAAAGCTCTAAAATTCATGTTTAAAATTAGTGAAACCCTCTGAAAACCACGAAAGAGAAAATATAACATTCTGAACCAGGCATTTCTGCATTTGCGGCCAATGAACCACTTCTGCGGTTCTTCACTTAATCGGCCAAAAGCGCATCTGCGATGAACCTTCCGTACCTATGCCTTCGCAGGTGCGGTCCCACAACCGCATCTGCGGCTCCTGCCTTCCCAGGCATTTTCCGCTTCTGTGACCTCCCTTCTCGCATCTGCGGCATCGCACCTGCGGTCCCTAATCCACAGGTGCAGAAATACCAGAAGCAGCAAAAATCTGCAGCTTTTCAAATTTCCCAACTCTCCGTCGACCATCCGAAATCACCCTGAGGCCCTCGGGACCTCAACCAAAAGCGCAAACATATCACATATCCTTATTAAAACTTGTACCAGTCTTCAAAACACCTCAAACAACATCAAAATCACCAAAACACATCGACTTCAAGCCTAAGGTTCTAAAATCTTTCGCATTCCGCTTTTGATAAAAAAATGTACCAAATCACGTTCGAATGACCTGAAATTTTACACGCACATCCCAAATGACATAACGAAGCTACTGCAATTTTCGGAATTCCATTCCGACCCCTATATCAAAATTTCACCTATCAACCGGAAATCACCAAAAATCCATTTTCGCCAATTCAAACCTAAATCTACTCTGGATCTCCAAAACTCATTTCGATTATGCTTCTAAGTCCCAAATCACCTCCCGAAGCTATCCGTACCATCTAAACTCACATCCGATCCCTCTAATACATAAGTTAATATCCGGTTGACTTTTTCACCTTAAGCTTCCTAAAAAGAGAATAAGTGTCTCAAACATTACCAAATCCTTTCCGAACCCGAGCCAAACAACTCGATCACATATAGAACCGATTAACAAAGCAATAAGAAGCAAAAATAAGGAAAATAGAGTGGTAACTCATGAGACGACTGGCCGGGTCATTACAGATTCCTGTGACATAGTTGTGATATGTAGTCCCCAATTCGGACGTGCATTTCATGTGACCCGATCATAATAATTTTGAATTTTAATAAATTAAACATGTCGTGAATTGCGGGTGCATTTCATGTAGCATGATTCGCGGTGTGTTCCAAAACAAATAAGTGTACGACAATCGTAACTTGTTCAAGAAATAATTTCATAAATCTTAAAAAGCAGTGTAAATAATTTAAAGCGGTTATAAATGTAAAAATGCACAATATGTTCTAAACATGTAAATAATCAGATAATTAGGCCAATTATTAGTAGTTGAGCGACCGTGCTAAAACCATGGAACTCGGGAATGCCTAACACCTTTTTCCGGATTAATAGAATTCCTTACCCGATCTTCTGTGTTTGCGAATAAAAAATAGAGTCAATTTTCTTCGATTTGGGATTTAAAATAAATCGGTGACTAGGAACACCAAATAAATTATTCTAGGTGGCGACTCTGAAAGAATTAATTAAATAATCTCATTTCGAATAATGTCACTTTTATTGGAAAAAATCTTCTATACCCTTTCGGGTAGAAAAAGGAGGTGTGACACATTATAAAAATGATAATTTTATATCAAATTTATTTATGTTCAGGATTATGGTTTGCGATAATATAATGAATGTTATTGATAAAGGTATTATTGGGTATTTGTCATAATTTTTAGAAATTGTGGGTATAAGTCACGTTTCATGTGTTTTTTTTAAAAAGTGAAATATATTTTGAAAACTGATGTCCAAACACAATTTCTTCTTCAAATCAAACTTCACCCACATCAAAATTTTCAAAACAAATTTGAAAATCTACGGCCAAACGCTAGATAAATAAATGCTTTTTTTGGCAAAAAAAATATTTTTGACCTCCCGGAAGCTTGGGCAAACAATCTCCTTAAATCCTAACCAAACAGTATATAAATCTTATGCTGATTTTAGTATGGAGATTAATTTATACCTGTTGTAGCCTAACCAAACAGCCCCTTATGTGTTACCCGATTAAATGCTTACCGAAACCTCAACCCGAACCCGATTCTCAGGAAATTTGACGGCACATTGTTATTTCGATTTTCCCTCTTCCCTTCACAAATAACAGGGAAAACTTTTTAGCTGCCAAAAACAATCTTTCCTGCACCACTTACAATTTTCATTCCTGCTAGTTTGTGTTTGTGTATATACGTACATTCACAAAATTAGGGTTAGGGTTAGGGTTCCGAGCTTTGATTTGGGTTTGGTGATCAACTCTGGAAGCGTGATAAGTACCATGTACGCTGATCGGGAAGAGGCACTAAGTCGGACGTCTATAAAAGAAAGGCTGAAGCGCAATGCTGCTGATGATTCTGCTCGCCGGAGACTAATTTCCGGCAAGAGGTCCTCTCTCTCCCTCCCTCACAGACGCACACACGCACACACAATGAATGCGGAGCATCTGCACATCTTATACTTTGTCGATGTTGCTGCATATATATACCTTGTGTTCCATTTTATGTGACCGTCTTTGGCTAGGCATAAAATATAAGAAAGAAAGATAGACTTTTGAATTGTAGTTTGAAACAACCGGTAGTGCCTATAAATCAAGGTAAAATGAGAAATATAAAGTTAAATTATTTCAAGATATAGAAAAGTGCCATTCTTAACTAAAAAAGAAAGTGTGCCACATAACATGGAAAAGATTTGAGCCGAGGACCCCAGTACGACTGCACCAACTACTACTTTGTTGCAGTAGGTATAGACTTGGTATAAATACTTAGTATTTTTTTAAGAAAGATCTTCTATTATATATGTGGTTTAATTGGCGGCTGAAGGTCCATCCTTGCACATTTGGTTTGATATATTGTTTGTTAGCTTCAATCAGCTTTTTGCTTCAGTCCTAAAAATTGCTTATCATGTGCTCGAAGTGAGAGCCAAAGCCAGGATTTGAAGCTTATGGATTCAGAATTCTAGCACTTTCAAGTCACTAGAGTCATTAATAATTTGTACAAATTAAATGGATTTCTTAAAACCAATACAGAGTTTCGGCCAAAGTTACTGGGTTCCGCTGAACCCATACCTTGGTCTCTAGCTCCGCCCCTGCTCAAAGTGCTACTTGGTTGGTTCAGGAAAGGTTAGAGTGGGTTACACCGTAAGGAGGTCCTCCCTTTGCATTTCTGCGAAGAGGTTATTCCACGCTTAACCATATGACCTACAGGTCAACATATCATTAAGGAGTAACTGAACCATTGTACAATAGCTGCTTACTGGACAAGAAACCACTGCCTTTTCATTCTGTCCTATGCGCCGAGGGTCGCTTGGAAGCAGCCTCTCTGCCCTTTTGGGTAGGGGTAAGGCTGCCTACATATTACCTTCCCCAGACCCCACCTGGTGGGAGTATACTGGGTAGTTGTTGTTGTTGTTGTTGTTGTTGTTCTTTTGGAGTATCACCGAAGAGGCATGTAGCTAGCACTCAAACTTACACTGGCTCACTGGTTATCGCGATTCTAATTTGGACCTTGTGACCTTTAGCAAGTAATGGATGGAACTAATTTAATAAGATTTGTGTATCTAGCTCAAATTTAGCTGGTCATCTTGTTTATTTCCCTTAAAAGAGTGCCAGCTCTGGCCTCTGGTCAGATAAAGGCATGGAAGATTCTTGTAATGATTGAATTTATTTTTATGGTATGCTTCATTGTTGCTTATTTGGTTTTCACCTTATTGCTTGCTTATTACAACAACAACATACCCGGTATTATCCCTCATCGGGGTCAGGAGAGGGTAATGTGTATGCAGACCTTACCCCTACCTTGTGAGGATAGAGAGGCCGTTTCCAGTAGGCCCTCGGCTCAGGAAAGCATAAGCACCACATTAATTAAAATATAGACAACAAGGGACAGTTACCAAAAAGCCATGTAAGAGGGTTTTCACATATTGCTTGCTTATTGTGTCCTAGCATTGGAAACTAATTTTTACTTGGGAGGGATTGGATTCATGTTGATGGATTTGACGCTTGGTCAGTAGCATTAAAGATTTTATGCAATGTAATGATAAGGGGAGCGACATGAATACTATAAATCAAGCTGTCAAAATGGCATATTGTTGTTATCGACCATTATTTGCAATGAGTATGTTTATGAGATGAATCGTATTTATCTTCACAGGTCAAAGCTTTTCCCTAAAAAGAAAGAAGAATCTTGTCAATCTTTTTGTTAATAGCTGTAGTTCGTTTTTTCAGGCTCAGAGAAGACAATGACAAATGGGTGCATGACCTTTATGAGCCTGATGAACTTCAAGGATCAAGTATGGGGTGTTTGAGAACCACGTTATTCATATAGCATTTTTTTCATAAATGAATGGGCAGTATACTTTTTGAGGTCTGCAATAAAAGGTTGATTTCTTTTTTGTTGTGCGCTTGTATAGATCAGAGAATTGGTACAAAGGATCTTCGTCTCAAACTTCAACGAAGAAGAAGTATTCAACAAGCTACTCAAATAATAAAGAGTTCTTTATCTGGAGGTACGAGGGATCTGCGGGAAAAGCTCTCTGGTACTGTATACTCGCAAACAATGCAAACTGGTCCCACTAAAAAAAAGCTAAAGATAATTCCTGAAGTCAGCAAACCTTCCAAGAGAACTGACATAGCTGCAGCTCCTGCCTCAGAGACGAAAAACATTGCCAGCAAAGTTTCTAAGAAGAAGTCCCAGCAGAAGGCAAGAATATCTCACTTACTCAGATTACTTTTACAAATGAGATCTTACTGCTAGAAATTGTGCAGCCCTTTAAAAAATTCACAATCTGGGGAAAAAGCGCGAGTCTGAGAGTGTATATCTAGACACCAAATTTTTGGTTATTGCTTCATGGATGTCCCTAAGACAAAATATGGCTTAAAGATAACCGCCAGCAGAGAAGGGTAAGTGGAGGTCTTAGACAAAGATAGCATGTTTACATGACACCATATTCCTTAGTCTTCTGCTCTTTAAGCATTAAAATATTTAATTTGCTGCTGTTGGTTGTTGGACTGTGTTTCTACGAAGCTACTGCGTGAAAGTTCGGAAAGTATTATGCTTATAGCAGTCTGCAGGTCCAGTATTAGAATTCTGTGACATGTAATCAGATGACCAGTATAATAAAAGCTGCTAAGTGTGCGTATATCTAGTAGTCCTCAAATTTATTTGTATTGTTCATACAAAGATAGCTGTTTTAATTGTTCATTTCCACAGTTGAATCCACTGGAAGATTTGAAGACTTCATTTCTGAGACCCAATATGCAGTAGCTTCTTGCTTGAGCAACAAATTGCTTTATTGTTTATTCCCACTTAGATACAGGTGCTTTCTGGGCATACTTATTTTATTCTGTTCTGTATGTGTATGCTGTGGGTAAACGGTATATGCTTCCTGGAGTCTTTAATATAGCTGAGTGACTGGATGTTGATGCAACATTACACTATGAGGACTTCATTCTCTAGGAACCTATTTGCAATACATTCTTGCCTGGGCTGAAACCACATGTATAGAAATTATGCCTAGTTTAGTACAGGTGCTTTTTGGACATACTTTATTTTCTTGTATATGCTTATGCTGTGGGTAGGAATTGTCTATGCTACCTGAACTCTTCAATGTGGCTGGAGTAAGTGGTTCAATTGTAGATAAAACATGTTAAATCATACCATTGATTCTGGTATCTACTAAAAGTTCACGGCCCATCTTAAACCTGTCATTGCACCAGTACTGTCAATGCAACATATTTTTCTAAGGAAGCAAACAGCTAAGACGCCTCCTCCCCATTTGTGCCAACTTTTCACTTCCTGTAAGTGAGCTGTCCCGATCCACTAGTTAAATAAATGGAAGCAGAAGAATAATTGAAAATATAGACAAATATACTTGGTCAACATTCAGCAAGGTAAGATTATTTAAATGGAGTGTCTTTACTCCCCAGGAAGATGATTATCCACCTGTTTAGTCATTTTCTAGTACTAATGTATTGTACCAAATGAGGGGCACATACCTCTTCAGAGATCTAAGTTAGAGATAGATGGTGAATGAGAAGTACACATCCTTTTTTGTTTTATTTAGTTATTTAATTTTATTTTTGACTAGGGAGGGCATAATCTTGTGGAAAGGACCATCCACCTCCAGGGCTCCAACCATGAGTTGGGGGTTCGAGTCTCCAAGGAAAACAAAGTGTGAAAGGACCACTGTTTGCTCCTTGCTTTTTTGTGGTTGGTGGTTTTTGGAGGGGGTG